GTCAGTATGTAGTGTCTCTACTTTAAAGAGTCCTCTCCTGCTGATGTTCAGGTGTATATCAGTATGTAGTGTCTCTACTTTAAAGAGTCCTCTCCTGCTGATGTTCAGGTGTATATCAGTATGTAGTGTCTCTACTTTAAAGAGTCCTCTCCTGCTGATGTTCAGGTGTATATCAGTATGTAGTGTCTCTACTTTAAAGAGTCCTCTCCTGCTGATGTTCAGGTGTATATCAGTATTCAGTGGAGGGAAACACTGGAGAGGGAAAAGGGCGTCTGTAAAGCTTTTAAAGTTGGATTATTTCCAATCCTGCAACTCTGCTCGTTTGTGTTTCTTTACACAAAATGATACAGAAAACATGAGCGAGGTAACACATGGAGAGTTCAGTCCTCTCTCTGGAACATAAACAGTTTGAATTTCAAATTGAGATTTGGGGAATTCCTTTGGGTACGATGATGGCAAAACGACTCTGAAGCTTAGCAGGATAAACTGGAAAAAACTCTGCATGGAAAAGCTTTTAAAATCACTAACGTATGGTAGTTATTTATGAATCTGCATATATCCACCACAGACAGGTATTATTAAACCAGTTCAACCCTGCACTGGTGTATATATTTTATAGATTTAACGATGAGTTGTACGGCGAGGAGAGCTTTTCCCTCCTCTGGGGAACATTCCTCAGGCCAAACCCCACCGCGCCACATGACATCAATTTCCTGCTGGGAAGATTCAATCAAGATGGCCGTACATGTGTGTGATTAGTCTCAGCACTTTGCACTTGTTGTAGTACGCACAACCCAGAGCTTCCTTTTTAAAAAGAAGCAGCCTTTACTCTTTATAATCCATCATCTGGACCTTTTTACTCAAGAAGAAACCTTGAACCGTTGATGTGTTTTTCACTCATTTATTCCAACTACATGCAGCCCTCAGGCGAGAAATCTCAGAGCTGCAGGATCACTTCTCCCTGATTTATGTCCGGGGGCTACTTTGATAAATAGCATTATTAACGAACACACACACACACACACACACACACACACACACACACACACACACACACACACACACACACACACGGGACTACTCTGCACATTACCTCGGTGTCATGTCACTCTACAGCTCAATCCTAACTCCTCTGAGCCTTTTATTGAACATAAAAAAACAAACTATGACAAAGTGCTGTTTCAGAGTTGGCACACTCAGCTCATAATGGAGTAAACATGAGGTGAGTTGCAACAGTTTTAATGGGAATAACAGACTGGGAATGCAAAGGCTTTCACTTTCCCACAGATGCAGTAACATTGTGACAAAGCAATTTACTTTAGGTGCCTGATCGCAGCTACAGGGTCATTTAGACTAGAGAGTGTCAGATTCTCGTCATCTCTTCACTGGGGTCCCACAGGGCTCTGTCCTGGGTCCCCTTCTCTTCCCTCTGTACACAAACTCTCATTCGCTCGCATGGCTTCTCCTATCACAGCTAAGCAGAAGACACACAGCTAATTCTGTCTTTTCCCCGGTCTGAAACCCACGTGGTCGCATAACTTCTTCACCAGCACTAACTATGGAATTCTCCTTATCGTGTCCACAAGGCAGTCAGTTACAGGGCTTGGTTAGATGTGGTTCAGCCACAGCTGAACACATTGCTGTCCCTTCTCATTAAACTCTGCCAAGTCCGATGTTGTGCAGGGTTGCTCCAGCAGGGGGCATATCAGGAGGTGTTGCATGGTTTGTGGTTCAATGCCGCAGTCACACACAACGTCCCCGTCATTTAGGTATCCCCATTTGGCGAGAGTGGCTTTTGCACGTCCAACACCAGATCTTATTCTGTTTAGGCATTTCCACACTGCGTAGTTGGTGTCTGCTCCAGGGGGCAGTGCCTCGCTCGCCTTTAGCTCCATTGTTGTTGCTGATGGGAGGTTGTCAGGGAATGATCTTGCTTGAAGTGAATATATCTGCACTTTCCTCGTTGTTCGGAGTTTGATCTTTATGTTTTTCGCTCAGAACCAAACACGCCGAAGCTGCATTTAGTTTTTATGCACCCCACAAATGGAAAAAACTTCCCAGAAAACCTGAAGTCTTCACCAACGCTGAGCTCTTTTAAGTCGAGTCTAAAAACATTACTTTTTTTAGCACCTACTGATTTACAATGTTGTTTTTAAACTATTCTGTATCTCTTTTATGCGTGTTTTTTATGAACCTATTATTCCATTTATTGTGTTCCTTTCTGTTGTCTTCTTATTGTGTTGATGTAAAGCACTTGGAATTGCCTCTGTGTCTGAAAATGTGCTATTTAAATACACGTACCTTACCTTTTGCACTTATTGTAAGTTGCTTTGGACAAAAGCATCAGATAAATGATGTGGAATGTGATGTAATAAAACTCATCTGAAGATAGTAACCACCAACCATTTTATTATAATACTTTTATTGCTTAGTTTTATTGCCTACCGTTAAAGGAAGAGTTTTGAAAGAGCTGCTGTCCTGCAGGTAAAAGGCCCACGTGAGACAACGTTTTACTGAGACTAAAATGTCGGATTACCCTAAGGCTTAAAGATAAGATGTTTTCATGATACAATATTATTATTATAGTGCAATTTATTACTACAAATAATGCAGTTTGTCAGCAAATGTTTTATCCAGTGAGATTATGTTTTGATCATTTATTTCCTGATGTTTTATATAATGTGAAATGAGAAAATGACCCCTAAAATATTGAAATGTGTTTGTGCAATATTATTAAAGAGACTGTGTTAAGCTTTTTTTGAGTTTTCTCTTTGCTGTAGCGTGTTATATGGGTTTTAGTGTAAATGGTCTGCAGAGGCTAAAATCCCTGTGTTCCCTCCAAAGGAGTTTATGTCTAAGTCAAAGTTACTCCGTGGAACTTACAGAACCAAAGTGCAGAAAGAAAAACGTAAAGATGCTCAAAGAATTAAACTGGCTGCCCGCTCACCTTGTCCATGTGGAAAATCAGGTCCAGTTCACAGACGTTTTCAAAGCATTTATCCAGAGTTTCCACAAACACCTACAGGGAAGAACATTTGGGACGGTTAAACATCTAATTTCTTAAAATTAAACACCTTGAAAGCGAAATATTTTATATATAAGTACTTAAAGCTTCATCAGCTTCATCCACCAGGCTGTCAGGAGGCTGAACTCTCCCCCCGCTCCCACCTCTCTCCCACCTCTCCATGTACATCAGGGCTATTCAATTAGTTTGGAATGGGGGCCGGTTGATGAAAATGATCCAAAGCAAGGGGCCGGGAAAAAGATGGCTTGAAATATGAGCAATCATATTAAGAGCTTCAGATACAGTAAATACTACAACAGCAGTGGAGTGCATATATTGTGTTTAATTCAATCTAACAACATAGCCCCAAGGCCTTTAGAGATCTAAATGGCAAGTTCAGAACTCAGTAGGCCGACATGTGAAGCTGATTTAACCATCAACATCATTTCATTTGATTTAATTTAGGTGAAATGATCTAATCATTCACGCAGCGATGCAATCAATGACAGGAGTTGTCACCACAGTAGCTAGCAGGTGGGTTCGAAACCCGAGCCGGCCAATGTTTTCAGGCAATGTCTTCCCCTCTATCTCTCAATGTAACACCCTCTCTGGAATAAAGGCACGCTGGCACAAAAAAAGTAGATTACTTTTTAACATTATACTCACTTGACTTTGACTGACTTTGACTTGAATTACACTGACTTTGACTGACTGACTGACTGACTGACTGACTGAGACTTGATTTTCACTAACCTTGACTGACTTTAATTGACCTTGACTGACTTTAATTAACCTTGACTGACTTTAATTGACTTTGACTTGATTTGGACTGACTTTGACTGACTGACTTTGACTGACTGACTGACTGACTGACTGACTGACTGACTGACTGACTGACTTTGACTTTGACTTGGACTGACTGAGACTGACTTTAACTGACTTTAACTGACTATGACTAACCTTGACTGACTTTGACTTGATTTTGACTGACTTTGACTTTGACTTGGACTGACTTTGACTTTGACTGACTTTAATTGACCTTGACTGACTTTAATTGACTTTGACTTGACTTTAACTGACTTTGACTTTAACTGACTGACTTTGGCTGACTGACTTTTTCTTGACTTTTTCTTGACTTGTTGTGACTATATTTAAGGGCATGACAAATGCTGGATCCCCTCCTGGTATTTGTTAATAAAGACCTTTCTTAAAACTCTAATAAATAAGTAAAAATGGTCACAAACAGGAAGTCAGTGGATGGTGCAAAGACTTAAATAAAATGGTGGCTGGTTTTGAAAAGATAACCATCATCACTGACAATTTTAAAGCTGACGCCATGAAGGAGGATCAAATCAAACGGTGCAGGTCATCAAAGATTCTGAATAACCCGTAAATATGACATCGTTACGGGTTATTCATTGAAGGCATTTCTGCTTTTGTATCATGTGTTAGTTGAGTCAATGTGAAAATGAGCAGTATATTCAGATAGACATCGAGTATCAGCTTTCTAATTTTAGAATTTCAATCTTTAACCACTTAGTCATTCGTCTTTTATGGATCCTGCAGTAATTCTCCTTTATCGATGACGCAGAAGGGAGCTGATAGATATCTGATAAATATCTGATGACGAGGATTAGGAGGAGCAGTGAGCAGCTTGACTCACTCAAAACATGTGTTATCAGAGGTACAACAAGGTTATTATCTTCTTTATTATTCTTCTTTCATCGCCTTATCCAAGAAGAGAGTAAGTTTCACTTCCTGGATAACCAGCATTATCTACATTTTATACAATCGACAGAAAAACCTTACACTGGTAGTTTATTTCACCTTTAAGTTTGTTTGATTTTATATTTAGAGAGGTTTACGTCTGTCTGTCTGTCTGTCTGTCTGTCTGTCTGTCTGTCTGTGTGTGTGTGTGTGTCTGTCAGAAGGTGTTGAATGACTTTTCTTAAAAAACACACATTAGATGTTTCTATAAAGCATTATATAACGCTGACCTGGATCAGATCCAGGATGCCGAGCTCACTCTCAGACGAGTCCACGCAGAACACAAAGTAGAGCGTGGCGTAGTGCCGGTAGATCAGCTTGTAGTCGGAGCCACCAATGAGACTGTAAGAGGACAGAAATGAGACTTTAGACTTAAATAAACTATATAGGTGTGGATTTGTGCTGCGTCACTCGTGGATTTGATACGGCAGGAATTAAACTCAACCTAAATGTAAAAAGAATATTTAAAATAGTTGCTATTTAATTCACATTGGGGGAAGAAGTCAAGAGACTGTAAGAGGAGAGAAATGGGACTTTACACTCAAAAGTAGTTTGGGTGTAGCTCTATGCATGTGGAATCCTGAAAGTAGGAATACAACTTGGTGAAAAACAAATGATTGTATGCTTTAAAATTGTTAATGATTTGATTATATAATGGAAGAAGTGAGTCAGAGCGGCTCTACTTCTGTGGGTTTGCCTCCCTCTAGTGGTTAAAGTGAACTATTGCATCCACAGTCAGTTGACATGACACTAGTTACAGGTCTGCCTTTCAGTCTCTGTCTGCATGGACTTTAAACTCGCTAAAAATATAAACATTATCACATGTTCAGCTGTATCCATACAGTCAGTCTATGCATTCAAAAAACTAGAAATGCACAGGTAGAGCACATTGCTCCGCCATGGCCGAATTCCTTATTTTATAATGCTTACAAAGTCAAAAATGAATGTGTGTGTGTCTGCCCTCCCATTCTGATCGGTTTCAAACTTTACTTTTCCACCAAGTTTTATTCAGATCCAGTGAATATGTTGTCTTTAATCCTGCTTAAAACAAACCCTTGGAAAAAGCAACAAGTTCAGTTGCAGCAGCTTTTCTGATAGAGGCGCATCAACAACAACAAACACATGACATAATCTTTAAAGATGTACTTATAGTATAAATACATGGCTAGTTATATATTTATACACGTCAGATTTTCCCACAGCAAACAGCAATACTCGCCTTCCTCCCTCCAAGAAGTTGCAGACGTTGTCGTCTCTTTTAGAAACCAGATGGAAAGTCTCTCTGATGATCTGCTGCTGCATGTCCTCCGCCTGCAAGAAAACAACTCGTCAGCTAAAGTAATGTAGTCTGTGTTTGGTAAATACACTTCCTCTACGGACACACAATAAGGTTGTGAGGGATTCTTACTTTTAACACTTTGCTGATATAGTAGGGAAAGTTAAGAAAAGGACATCATGCATTTAAAAAACACTCCTTCACAGATAACAGAAAAAAATATGAGCTATGATTAGATAAATGCAAAGGATGATAAGAGGAAGTATTCAGATCTTTAAGTAGAAGTACAAAATAGCATGACATGGAAATACTCAAGTGAAGTACAAGTAGGAACAAATTGTACTTAATTACAGTACTTGAGTAGATGTATTAGATGCTAAACACCACTGGTAAAAAGGGGAAATTAGTTATATTTCCTCTTTTGTAACATGTGTTTTTATTAGTAAAATCTAGCTGTTTACTTCCCTACAACATTCAATTATATCTATATTAAAACACAAAGACATTTCGGCATTAAAGCACAATCTGAGGAGAGCAATAATAAGCCAAATTACTGTAAAGACTGTGAGTAAATAAACACAAATTGACCGTGAAAAATGTAAATCTGTTGACTTTCTGACAAATAAACAATATGAAGGGCCACGTTACAGCTAACAACATTTATTTGTAGGTTATAAGTCGGTTAATAACAAATACTAAAAGACATGAAATCACAAATACACTTTAGCATTAATGCACAAAGTATTGAAAGCAAAAACCAAAGTCATTAAACCAAATGACAGTAAAAACAACAACAGAGAAATGCTAATGTTTTGAACAGGAAATACTTACAAAATACTGATAAAACCTGATCAGCCGCGGCTTCCCGTGGTTGTTAAATATCAAAATTGATTTAATCATGTCTATTCTTTGGTGTTGTCTGATTAAAATATGAAATAACCTTAAAATATAAAGGGATCTGAAGGTTTAAATCACGTTAGCTCGAATGCTAAGTGCTAACCGTCCTCTCAGCCGTCAGAAGGCTTATCACTACATCCGGTTGCGTCTCTACATTCAGCATCCGACCTCCAACAAACACTCTGGTTCCGGGCAGGTCATTGAGTGCGTTTAAGTGATAGTTTACATGCGCACTACTAATAAATATGTTCTATTAATAACTTACTGCTAATACCCTGGTTATGACCAGATTTTTAAGTATCCAGGTCATGTGTTGCAGATGTAAACATCATCAGAGTTGGATCGTGTCTCATTTCTGGCTTGAAAATAACTCACAGCTCCCTCCACAGTTTCGTCTTCTGTTAACTGGTCTGGTCTTATAACTTTCTTCACACTGTACATTTTACATTTCATTTAATACGCCATTCCTTGCCCACTTAATGTAAATGATATACTACTTTTAAATTGTGTTAGCTGTAATTAGGCCCTTCATAGTGTTCATTTTACGGTCAACCAATTGTATTTACTTTTAGTTCTGTTCTATTTTCTATTATGAGATGAAATACCAAGACACATTCTTCGTATGTGTTAACCTGCTTGGCAATAAACCTGTGGTTATGATCTGTATGAGTTTTTCCTGTTTGATTTTGTCATGTTAAGACCTGTCTCTGTGTTCCCTCCTGGTTAATTACCTGATTGTGTTCACCTGGTGCTCCTTGATGTGTGAAGATGATTTAGAGAGAGAGAGTTTGGGTTTTGGTTAGTTTACCTCGCTCTGTGAATTCTGGATCAATCAACAATAAAGGATTTGTATTTAAAGAACCGTCTTCTGCACTTGGGTCAAATCTACTCTGCTCTCAGCTTTGACATCTGTTTCTGATTTAAATGTTATGTTTGTTTATTTTTCTACTCTTTTCATTTTTCAAAGTATGTGCAATTCCTTGTTTTAATATTATTCTGTCAAATCAAGTCAAGTTTGTTTATATAGCACATAAAAAAAACAACCTCAGTTGACCAAAGTGCAGCTGAATTTTGTACTAACTGTAAAGGGTGATGACTGGTCAAGACCAACGAATTAGGAGTTACAGTAATCCAAACGTGACGTAACAAGGCATGTATAACCGTCTAAAAGGCATTTATTGGGAGGTAAACCTTAGCAAGCAGTCGCAGCTGAAATAAGTTTCTGCTTTTCCTTTAGTTCTGCGACAAAAACATTTCAACATTTGGGATCAAGTATATCTTAGTATTAAAAAACTAATGTCGCAACAGGATTTAGAAAAACTTGTCCATGCTTTTATTTTCAGTAGACTCGACTACTGCAATAGTGTATTCACAGGTCTCACTAAAAAATCCATCAGAAAGCTGCAGCTGATTCAGAACGCTGCTGCTCGAGTCCTCACTAACACTAAAAGAGTGGATCACATCAGTCCAGTCTGTACACTGGCTTCCAGTTGGCCAAATAATTGATTTTAAAATACGATTGCTAGTTTTTAAATCACTAAAGGACCGAGGTAAAGATCTCCTGCATAACTATGAACCATCCAGGAGTCTCAGGTCCTCTCGGATCTGCTCTCTGTTCCGAGAATAAGAACTAAACATGGAGAAGCAGCGTTTAGCTATTATGCCCGAAAATCTGGAACAAACTTCCCGAAACGTTCACGTCCGCTGAAACACCTATTTTCTAAAAACATATCTATTTGCCGCTGCTTTTAATTGAGCTGTTCATACTCACACTGCAGTATGCCTTTTATTCATGTGTTCTGTACCTGCTGTGTTTATTTATTTATTTCATTATCTTTGCTTTTTTATGCCTGTTTTTAAATGCCTTTTAATAATGTGTTTATGCTGTATTTATTATTAAATGTGTTTGGTTTTTATTTGGTAAAGCACTTTGAATTGTCGCGTACTGAAAGGTGCTATAAATACAATTGCCTTGCCTTATTTTATCAGATTGTGCTTTCATATGTAGACAGTCAGTGAATACACATACTGTGACAATTCTGCATAAAGTTAATGAGTAACATGAATTACAGACAAACCAATGTGGTCCAATCATAATACTTCTTTATAACTGTACAATCAAACTGGAAATATTGCAATTTAGACTAAAAACATGGACGCAGTCACAGATATTTGAGCTCCACAAATGTAATTTTTCCTCTTAAAACTTCTCATAATGAATACAATGCTTTTTGCATGTGAAGCATTTACAATTGGATGAATCTCCTGACCGTTAAAAGTAATATTCTGGTACCAACTAGGAGTAATGTGTGTAAGATGTGGGAGGCTGTTTCTTTTTATCTTTTTGTTGCTGCTGTTTTAATTAAATGTCACATTGAGGAATTGCTCTACTTTTTAGAGTATTGTATTTGAGTGATGCTCATATCTTTCAGCCTTTTCAAGTCAACATCCCGTGATTTCGTGACTCCACCGGTGAGGGTTTGGGGTGTCAAAGTCAATTTCATCGCGGGCCACATTCGCATAAAGGTTGCACTCAAAGGGCCGGTTGTAACTATATAAATATATAATATATATATATATATAAAATAATGTATTATAATACATTATTGTCTCTGAATTGGATTATTATCGGATAGGATAATAACTTAGTAATTAACTACGTCTGAAAGCAGAAGTCCAGGGCAAATAAGTCTCAGTGCGCATGTCACAAAACGAGATGCATTGTGGGACATGTAGTTTATGGGCAACCTGCTTCTGTAAAGTGGCATGTAACCGTATAATAAACGTATTATATTCTTTGCAAGCTCTTGCGGGGCCACATCAAATGAAGTCACCGGCCGGATTTGGCCCCCGGGCCTTGAGTTTGAGTCCCCTGGTTTACACTGACGCTTCTCTTCTTCTGTGTTTCCCGTGTGTCAGCAGAAGTTCTGAGACTCTTTACCGCTGGATTACATCATTTAGCAGTCTTTGTGACTAATGCACCGGCAGCTGAGGCACCACATCATTACTGGACCCTTTGTACCTTTGTCTTCAAACTGCCTTAGAAATCTCAAAGCCGTGACGACACTCTTCACCTTTGTTCAGATCTGCAACCTTTACAGAATCTGATCAAAGGCCATCTTACATAATGCAATAGGAAATACCCTAAAAAATCTACAGAATATAACTGTGCGAAAGACAGAAGCATTGTGATAGACAGTGGGGAAATACAAATGTATTTAGAGTGTTTTATTTACTGTTACATGTTTCGTATTGTTAAACATTTTAGTCCATGCCTGCATGCAAGGGATAAATACCTGATATTTTAATAAACAAAGTAAAAGCTAAAAACGACATACTGATATACACCTGAACATCAGCAGGAGAGGACTCTTTAAAGTAGAGACACTACATACTGATATACACCTGAACATCAGCAGGAGAGGACTCTTTAAAGTAGAGACACTACATACTGATATACACCTGAACATCAGCAGGAGAGGACTCTTTAAAGTAGAGACACTACATACTGATATACACCTGAACATCAGCAGGAGAGGACTCTTTAAAGTAGAGACACTACATACTGATATACACCTGAACATCAGCAGGAGAGGACTCTTTAAAGTAGAGACAATAGATACTGATATACACCTGGACATCAGCAGGAGAGGACTCTTTAAAGTAGAGACACTACATACTGATATACACCTGAACATCAGCAGGAGAGGACTCTTTAAAGTAGAGACACTACATACTGATATACACCTGAACATCAGCAGACCAGTCCTCTATTTGTACACCTTTCAGGGTCAGGGATCATCAGTGTACTGAATGATGGAAATTGAGTTTCTTTAGTACCTCGATTGCGAACCACTGTAGATCTAATTCCACAACATCATGCATTACCAGTCNGTGTGCCTTGGCAGCAGGAGAGGACTCTTTAAAGTAGAGACAATAGATACTGATATACACCTGAACATCAGCAGACCAGTCCTCTATTTGTACACCTTTCAGGGTCAGGGATCATCAGTGTACTGAATGATGGAAATTGAGTTTCTTTAGTACCTCGATTGGGAACCACTGTAGATCTAATTCCACAACATCATGCATTACCAGTCAGATTGGCGTCATGCCAAAGGTCATCGGGTCTCCATTGTCCGTCCATCAGAGGGTTATCGAGACACCACAGGGTCACATGTCCTTCAGTATCTCTGTGTGATCAGACGCAGCAACAATTTGAAATGTCAGACCACATTTCCCCCGATTTCATATCCATTAATCCAGGGTTTTTCATCATTAGTGTCTCACAATATTAAAAAGCCACCCAGGCAGTTTTCCTGCATATCATCTATTATATTATCCGCCTGTAAATTCCCTTCCTCCTGCATGAGCACGGTGGAAAACAAACAGACGCTCATTAGCATGTGCGACCCGTTGGTGGTAAACAGGCTTATTTCCACATGAGTGCAGCGCGAGAATGGATTCCAGCGGGACGTATCGAGGTAGGTGGGCCCGCCTTTAATTTAGATTTAACAAATGCAAGTGGACAGGCTGAGCATTCTCAGGCACAGCGAGGTCATGTTGATACAGTGAGCACTTGTTAGAGGGTGACTCACTGTATCAGGAGTCCTGGGTGGCATTTTGAATGTGCTCAGAGGTGAAAGAAGTACTCAGATCTTAAGTAGAGGAAGTACCAGAGTAATACTCTGATACAAGTAAACAATGTGCGATTGAAATGTAAATGTTACACAAGTAAAAGTTAAAGTATTGGCATCAAAATATACTTAAAGCACTAAAAGTTAAATAAACAAAAGCATAATTATCAGAGGCCGGAAGTACCTAAGTACATTTACTCAAGTACTGCACTTTTCTATCTGTGTTTTTAATTCCTGCTTTACTTTTATGTATGCACCACGACACCAAGTCAAATTCCTCGCACGTGTCAACTTACCTGGTAAATAAAGCTGATTCTGATTCTGAACTGATACTGAGGAGATGTATTTAAGTACACTTCTGAGGTAGGCTACTTGTATTTCCATTGTATGCTCTTTTGTTCTTCTACTCCACTACAGTTCAGAGGCAAAGGGTGTACTTTTAGTCCACTACATGTATTTAATACCTTTAGTTACTTTACAGATCTGGATGAATGATGTGAAATATAA